TATTAACAAGGGCCATTATACTCTTTCTTTACTTGGAAAAGTGAGTTAGAGTTTGGTAGAACTAAATATCAAAGACTCAAGACTTTAAACCTTGTTTAATAGAATCGCTTAGGAAAAAGTGGGTTTTATTTGGCATAAATTGAATGCTCTTAATTGCAACTCTTTTATATTTGAAAAAATCATAAAGAGGAAATACTACCCAACTATTGGAAAATTGGGTAGTCATTTAGAAATCATTTGCATATTTAAAGAACCTTCTATTAGAAATATATCATATTAACACCGATAGCATTATATTTTATTGAAGGGGACACAAACTTGGTTTCCTTAATCAAATTGTAACAAGAGTATGATATGTTGTGATTTAAAGAGTATGATATGTTGTGATTTAAAGAGATAACTAAATATATCATATTAACACCGATAGCATTATATTTTAAATCACAACATATCATACTCTTGTTACAATTAATGGAATAGAATTACGACCTAAGTCAAGTAGTACACTACTCGAGTAACGATTTCATGCCTATTACCTGTGGGATTCGACCCCAACCTTGTTGGGTTATTATATTTGACACCGAAAGTGTAATTTGAGCATATCAAATTTTGGCGTCGTTGCCGGGGAATATGGTTTTGAAATTACTATTAGTGTGTGCTTTACTTTACGTCTTATTCTATTCCATCACACTTTGCTTATTTTGCTTGGTGTTGATAGGAAGACATGGCCGAATATGAGGAAGAAATGGAAGAAAATCCTTTTGCGTACATAGATGAGTACATTGAGGATACAAATGCTATTGTACCTCCGGTTGTTAGTGTTACAACTTTTAAGGTGAAACATGGTTTAATCCTAATGCTCAAAGCGGAGGGGTTTTTTAGGAATTCCATTGATGATGATCCGACACAACATCTTAGAAACTTCTTGGGTGTGTGTGCGATGCATAAGCAGAACAACGTCTCAGATGATGCCCTAAGATTGAGGGTGTTCAAGTACTCACTAGCTGGGGACACAAGGAAATGGCTTCAAAATATGCCACCAAATTCCATTCATTCTTGGCCCGAACTTGTCTGAGCATTCTTAGCTAAATGGTTCCCACAAAGTAAGAAATCTGAGCTCCGAGATAAAATTTTCTTTTTCAAGCAAGTACCGGGAGAACATCTACATGAGGCATGGGATCGATTCAAGTTATATTTGGTGAGGTTTTCCAATCATGGTTTTCCAGATTCTATCTTGCTGGAGAAATTCTACATGGGTTTAGATCCTATGAACCAATCTATAGCCAAGAGTGCAGCTGATGGATCTTTTATAGACAAGACATTCGCAAGGATCACACAAATACTTGACAAAATGGCAAAACATAATCAAGCTTGGCACTCAGAGGACACCACAGGTGGAATTGCATATGGTTCTCCCTCCTTGACCACCATGATTAAGGAGAATTAAGAAAGAGAATAAGTAATTGCAGGGCTTGCCACCAATGTTAATGTGTTGACAAAAATGTTCATTGAAAGCCAAACGAATAAGATAAATATGGTGGAAGATGTGCAACCATCATCAAGTGAAGATTATGAGGAAGCCAACTATGTCAACAACTCCCAAAGAGGCTATCAAAGGCAACAATACCAAGGTCAAGGACAACAAAATCAATTGAGGCCTAACCCGCAAGGGCAAGGCAACCAACAGTGGCGAAATGACCAAGGTGGCTCAAATCAAGGAAATTGGAATAACAATAACAACAATAACTTCTCAAATCAGAGTTCAAACCCTTGTGTTCCTCGAAAGGGTCAATATTCTAATCAAGGTTCCTCAAGTGATTCCAAGTTGGAAAGCATGCTTGAACGGGTATTGCAAAATCAAGAGAGGTCCGACACTTCTATGAGGAATATGACCGAGCTTGTTGGTTCTCATACCGCATCCATTCAAAAATTGGAGATGCAAATGAGAGATCTTTCTAGGAAACAAAATTCGAAGAAAAAAGGGACACTTCCAAGTGACACAATTGCGAACCCAAATGGTAGTGGGAGTGGTACAACTTCTCATATCATGGAAATTACTACTCGAGTGGAAAGGTACTACAAGGAGAGAGTGAGCAAGTGGTTGAAGTAGAAGAGTTCGAACAAGAGGTTGAGGTTGAAGAGTCAAGGGTTGTTGAAGCTGAAAAGTCTCTGAAAGAGTTGAAAGTTCAAGAAGTGAATCGGGAAGAGGTAAGGGAAAAGGTAAAAGAGACACCAAAAGCTCTACCACATATTCCTATACCTCCTCCCCCATTTCCTCAAAGACTTGTGAAGAAGGTTGATGATAGCAAACTCGAAAAGTTCTATGACATTCTTAAGCAGTTATCGGTAAATATTCCAATCGTGGAAGCATTTCAAGAGATGTTGGGTTTTGCTAAATATTTGAAAGACTTGATCACCAAGAAGAGAAATACCAAAAATGAAGTGGTGAAATGACTCACCGGGTTAGTTCCATCATTGCAACAACCACCGTTCAAAAGAAAGAAAACCCGGGAGCTTTCACCATTCCATGCACTATTGGGGCACGTGATTTTGCAAGAGCCCTTTGTGATAATAGGGCTAGCATCAACTTAATGCCTCTTTCCATTTACAAGCAAGCGAGGTTAGGTATGCCAAGGCTCAAAAGTATGAGATTACAAATGACTGATCATTCTATAAAGAGATCGGTGGGAATTGTCGATGATGTGCTTGTAAAAGTGGGAAAGTTTCATTTACCCGCCGATTTCATAATCCTTGATTGTGCAGTTAACAAAGAGATCCCTATCATCTTGGGGAGACCATTCCTTGCCACAGGAAGAGCATTAATGGATTCGGAACGGAATGAGATCAAATTCCGTGTGAATGATGAAGAGGTTACATTCCAAGCAAGAAAGGGTATGAAACTACCACATGAAAAAGCATCTCAGTGATTGATGTTGTTGATGAAGTGGAAGATGCAGTTGAAATGAAGATGGAAGAATAATGCCTCGGTGAGGTGTTGGCGGCTATTTTGGTAAACTTCGATGGTCAAGACATGGAGGGGTATATGGAATCAGTCAATGCATTGGAAGGGCTTGGTTCCTCCACTTATGATCCGAAGAAGCTCTCTATCGACTTGGAGAATAGAGCCACTCCTCCCGCAAAGCGTTCAATCATTGAGCTACCGCAACTAGAGCTCAAACCACTTCCACCACACTTGAGGTATAAATTTCTTGGCTCAAATGATACTCTACCGGTAATCGTTTATTCTTTTTTGAATGATGTGCAGGTAGAACAATTGTTGGATGTCTTGAAGGAGCATAGGCAAGCTATTGGGTGGACAATTGCGGACATTTGAGGGATTCCCGCAGAAATTTGCGAACACAAGATCCAATTAGAGAAAGAGAGTAAACCAAGTGTGGAGCATCAATGAAGGTTGAACTCGTCCATGCAAGAGGTGGTAAATAAAGAAATCATCAAGTGGTTGGATGCCGGGGTAGTCTACCCCATTGCCGATAGTTCTTGGGTGAGCCCGGTGCAATGTGTGCCAAAAAAGGGAGGCATGACCGTGATTGAAAATGATAAAAATGAGCTCATCCCAACAAGAACGGTGACCGGATGGAGGGTGTGTATGGATTATCGGAAGCTCAACAGTGCCACGTGCAATGACCATTTCCATATGCCTTTTATTAATCAAATGCTTGATTGGCTAGCAGGAAGGTCATTCTATTGCTTTCTTGATGGGTATTACGGTTACAACCAAATCAACATAGCATTGGAGGACCAAGAGAAGACAACATTCACTTGCCCTTATGAAACTTTTGCCTTTAGCCGGATGCCGTTTGGTTTGTGCAACTCTCCGGCTACCTTTCAAAGATGCATGATGTCCATCTTCTCAGACATGGTGGAGGATTTTGTAGTGGTTTTCATGGACGACTTCTCGGTGGTAGGTGTGTCTTTTGAGCATTGTCTTAACAATCTTAGACAAGTTCTCAAGAGATGTGAGGAGACCAACCTTGTGCTTAACTAGGAGAAATGCCACTTCATGGTGGATGAAGGCATTGTCTTGGGGCATAAAATTTCAAAACATGGCATAGAGGTTGACCGGGCAAAGATCGAGATTATTTCCAAGCTTCCTCCACCTACTTCAGTTAAAGGTGACCAAAGTTTTTTGGGCATGCCAGCTTTTACATGCATTTCATCAAGGACTTTTCTAAAATTGCAAATCCCATGTGCAAACTCCTTGAGAAATATGCAAAATTTGTGTTTGACGAGAAGTGCCTCAAAGCCTTTGAGGAATTGAAACAAAAGCTCACCACGGCACCTATTATTTTCACACCCGATTGGTCTCTTCCATTTGAACTCATGTGTGACGCCAGTGGTGTAGCTATTGAGGCATTTCTTGGCCAACGTCACAACAAGGTTCTTCACCCGGTCTATTATGCAAGCAAGACACTCAATAGAGCACAAATGAATTATACGGTGACTAAGCAAGAACTTCTTGTCATTGTCTATGCCTTTGAGAAATTCTGGGCTTATTTGTTGGGATCCAAGGTGATAGTGTACATAGACCATCCTGCTCTTCGCTATCTTATGGCAAAGAAGGATGCAAAGCCTAGATTGATTCGTTGGGTCCTGTTGTTGCGAGAATTTGACTTCGAAGTCAAAGATCGAAAAGGGACGAAAAATCAATTAGCGGATCATTTATCAAGGCTTGAAGAGGCAGGGAGACCAATGGAAGATCTTGAAATCAATGATGATTTCCCGGATGAACACATATTGGCATTATCCAACATTTTTGATCCTTGGTATGCCGATATTGCTAACTACTTGGTTAGCAACCTTATTCTGGATGGATTGGATGCTTATTAGAAGAAGAAGTTTTTGAGAGATTGTCGGCAATACTATTGGGAAGAACCATTTGTTCCGTGTTTGCGCTGATAACATCATCAGAAGGTGTATTCCAGAAGAGGAAATTATGCCAATTCTAAAGGTATGCCACGACTCACCGGTTGGGGGTCACCATGGGGGCAATCAAATGGCGGAAAAGGTGCTTGAATGTGGTTATTATTGGTCATCGATTTATCATGATGCCAATCAAATGGTCAAGGCTTGCGACCAATGTCAAAGGCAAGGATCAATCTCCAAGAGGCATGAAATGCCAATGCACTTTGTGATGGAGATAGAGATCTTTGATGTGTGGGGAATTGATTTTATGGGCCCCTTTGTAAGCTCTTGTGGTATGAAATATATCTTGGTAGTTGTGGACTATGTGTCCAAATGGGTTGAAGCAATTGCCTTACCAAACAATGAGTCAAGGAGTGTGACCACATTCTTAAAGAAAAACATATTCACGCGATTTAGCACTCTTAGAGCCATTCTTAGTGATGGTGGGTCTCACTTCTGTAACAAGGCTTTCACGGGGCTACTAGAGAAATATGGCGTCAACCATAAGGTGGACACACCTTATCATCCCCAATCAAGTGGCCAAGTTGAAGTTTCCAACCGGGAGATAAAGAATATTCTAGCAAAGACTGTTAATGCAAACAGGACCGACTGGTCAAAGAAGCTATATGACGCGTTGTGGGCATACTGCACGGCGTACAAAACCCCTATTGGGACTTCTCCTTATCGGTTAGTCTTCGGCAAGGCTTATCATCTACCTTTAGAACTGGAACACAAATCCATGTGGGCTTTAAAAATGTTGAACTTGGATTGGGATGAAGCTGCAAATTTGAGGTTAACACGACTCAATGAATTGGAGGAATTCCGTTTCCATGCATATAAAAGTGCAGCTGTGTACAAAGAAAGGATGAAGTTCGTCCACGACAAAAAGATCCTGAAAAGGGAGTTCAAGTCAGGTGACTTGGTTTTGCTCTTCAACTCAAGGCTCAAATTGTTTCCGGGCAAGTTCAAATCGAAATGGTCTGGTCTATTCAAGGTGGTAGATGTATCCCCTTTTGGAGCTATGGAATTAGAATCGGAGGATGGGCTCCGAACCTTCAAAGTAAATGGTCAGCGAGTCAAGCACTACTTGGTTACAGATGGAGAAAACACTTGGTGGAACAGTTGACTCTCAAAGATGGTCCATGCCCGACCAATGAGTGAACCCAAATAAAGGCCAACTTCGTTGTGCAGCGACGTTAAATCAAGCGCTTTATGGGAGGCAACCCATGTGTGGTAACATCCTTTTTGTCCTTTAAATTTTATCTTTTGTTAGATAGATTTAATTGAGCAAATTAAAGTGTGTGTTAGAGTGCAGGTGATTCAAAAGATCATTACACAGGGTAAAATTGCGCGTGAAAGGGAATAAAAGTCACCATGGGAAGTCTGCTACACATATACGGTCGCATTTTAACTATGCAGACCGCATAGTGGTCGTAGACCTGGGCAGTTTGGTTGGCAAATATTGATGGCCGAAATGCGGCGAGGACGTGCACTTTGCGGACCGCATTTCAATTATATGATCGCATAAGTGCACCGCATTTGTGTAATGAGCAACTTTAGTTGAACCCACCGCATAACACTTATGCGGACGCATAAGTCGTTACGCGGTGACTTATCCACCGCAATTTTGCAGGTAAGTCTCCTTACCCCTTCGCACATAAACACACACCAACACTCAGACAAAACCATTTCCCTCTTAAACAAAAAAAACAAAAAGAAAACAAAACAAAAAAAAAGGAGAAAGGTAAGCGGCCAGTTGAAATTGAAAAGAGTAAACACATCCAAATTGTTAAATTCATCTCTTAAGTGCTTCTCGAATCATCCATTCCAGGAATGTTCACCCTTTCCCAGTTTTTCCTATTTTTGTTGTTTCCTTTAGTGTTTGTACTTACTTCCTCATCGTTATTAGGTATCTGCTCATAATAGGGGGGGCTCTTGGATAATTAGTTAGGCCTGGGGGTGCTGGGTAGTGAAATTAGGGTCTCCATTGTAGAGGGTGGAGTTCAAAACGTTGAGGACGAAGACTTTTGCGGATCGCATAGTCAATTTGCGATCCGCATTGTTACTGCATAACAAAACCCTAGGTGACTTAAGAAAGATGACAATTTGCGGAGGCTTTGTGATCGCATAAGTGATATGCGGACCACAAAGCCACCGCATACTTAAACAGTTTCTGGGCATTTGTCAAATGTTGTTTGCGGCTTATTTGCAATTGCAAATCCATCTTTGTGATAGGTTTTGCGATCGCATAGTGTTATGAACTTCCCAAGCGCATAGTTTTGCGATGGTTATGCGAACCGCATAATGGATAACCTATCGCATAACTGTTTCCTTTCAGTAGACAAAAGTTTTGCGACAGGTTTGTGGTCCGCATAGTGGTTATGCAACCGCATAACTCGTCGCATACTTGACTTTCTTTGTAACTTTTTTTCTTTTTCCCCTTCACACTTTGTTTCTCTGCAGATATGGCTCCCAAGAAACATCTTACTTCCAATAAAAGGGCCTCCACCACTCGTCAAGCACAACAAACCAAGTGTTCATGACCGGAATCATCCCAACCTACTGCTGCACATCCCTCCCAGTCTGATGAGGAGGATACATTGCCATCAGTTTACCTACAAGTTGAGGCAAGAAGAAAAAGGGGAGATGATTTCCAACTCAAGTTTGGAGTCGAAGGCTCTAGGGATCTGTACAGAGAAGGGCTCACGAAACGAAAAATCCTTGATGAGAAACAACTGAGTCTGAACGGGCTACAGGAGCAGTACCCTCACATACTGGAGAACATCAAAGCTAGAAACTGGGAGTGCTTCACTGAGCTGCCTGATAATTACAATGAAACATTAGTGCGTGAATTTTACGCATCTTATGGAGCCTCCAGAACACCTCACCACAAGCACAACAAAGTATTCTGTGAGACTATCTTGGTTTGGGGGAAGCAGGTGTTTTGTTGTAGTGACACTATAAATGAGTTCTACTTTTCAAACTGGAGACCGAGCACAGCTGAGTACGTCACCAAATGGGCCAACAGAGATAATGAGCGTGGTTGGATAGCCTTAGTGATAGCCAAGGGGACCCCCGCTTGGATTGACCCTCTGCATAAAATATTCAAGGAAGATCTAACATGAGAGGGTAGATTCTGGCTCAGCTTTGTCACCTCTCGATTGATACCGTCCCGCAATGAGACTGATATAAGCATTGAGAAATCTCTTCTCATTGCATGCATTATGATTGGGATAAAAATTGATGTGGGTGACATTATCTTCCGAGAGTTAGGGGTTCGGGCCAACCAGACAGTCATGTCACTTCCATTCCCGTGCTTGATCACAGCCCTCTATAAGGCTGTGGAAGTCCCTTGAATGCCACACACTGACAAAACAGGGAAAGCACTGAAGGATATTGATATCACGCGCATTAATGACACGGTGCCACAGGTAGTTGTTTCTCCTCTAGAGGTTCAGACCCAGATTCCTATTGATACAGAGATCCCAGACTCCCAGACTCATGTTTCTCCTCAGGCCACAGTGGCCTCCATTTCCACTCCATAGCCCACCTCTCAAGCCACCATTGCACAGCCTCCTACCATACTGCCAGCCGTTTCTAGGCTCGGTCTCTTAGCTCAACATGCAAATGCTAAGGTAGACCAGCTTCTGAAGAACCTCCCCACACTCATCAGGCAGGCATTGACCCCTATCTAGTCCTCAGTGACGGCCCTCCAATAGCAACAAACATCTTATGGGGATCACCTAAAGAAGCTTAAGGTACGGATTGAAAAGATAGAGCGGGGTGGGGTTGGAGAATTGCCAAAGCTCCGAGATGATATTGCCACACTGAAGACTGAGCTCCACAAAATGCAAAGTCTGGAGTTCGATCTATCCTCTTTCATGCCCAAGGAAGGAGAGCAGGGAGCAGGCATGTCTGTTGCTAGAATAGATCTTGATTTTTCCACTTTGATGACAACTCCTACACCTCAGACTATCGGGGCTTCCCAGCCTCCAGCTTCCCCCTCACATATTGACATCCCTTCTCAGGAAGATTCCGGACACTCTGTAGAGTCCGAAGGTGAGGATACCGATGAGGGAGAGACTGATGAGTCATGGTCCGAGGAGGATGAGGTCCCTCAGGAGAAAGGTAAGTAGGTTGTTGCCCCTACATTTGCAGAAGAGGAACAAGCAGTTGTTCAAAAGGCGATAGAACATTCGCTAGCAGACATGGTCGTCCAAGCCAATCCATCGACCACTCAGCTATCAGCAGGCGAGGCTAGCAGCTCACAGGCCCCAGCTCCAATGTCGGGCCAGTTGGAGATCCCTCCTCCATCAGTGGAGGTCACTCCTCAGGCCGAGATCTCATCGGCCCTAGCTCCAATATCAGAGGGTGACCCCACCATCATTCAGTCGGCTTCCGACTCCCATAGCTCTTAGTGAACCTCATGGAGCCCCTAAACTCTGTCTTACATTCTTATGCATTGGGGACAATGCATGATTTTCAGTTGGGGGTGTGATAGTCTTGTACAAACTTTTTGTGAACTGTTGTACATGTTTTTGTGTTATATAAGAAAATTTCTGTAACTTTTGTATATACTTGTGTTATTATTGTATATATGTTATCTTTGTATAGAAAAAAAATAAAAACAAGTAGATAGTTGGATGCATGTTCATTTTTAGTAATTAGCAATGAATTCCCCTTGGTTTTTCTTCGCCGGGTTCTTTTCCAAGGGTGTAATAGTAGAACCATGGCAGTAGGATGAAACATTTTGACCGGTTTGGTGTAATTGTCTAGTTTCAAGCATGGATGCCTGTAAATAGCCTATACCCTTCCATTAATATAAAAAAAAAAATCAACTGTGTGAACTTGAGGATCTCTCTTTGACTCTATGTTTACCTAGAGCTATACATGTAAATATGATGAAAGTTTCGAGTTGCCAAGGGTTGACTCGAGGGCTAAAACTATGTTGAGTCAAATAGTTTGTGTGCCATGTGTGTGAGTCTTTGTATAAATAATTCTTGTGTTTACTTCTGCCATCTATAACTAAGGGTGTATTGTGGGCCGGGCCCAGCCCGGAATCGGCCCGAGATCGCGGGCCAAACAGGCCGGTCTCAAATGGGCCGGTCTCTAATGGTGCATAAGCCCGTAGCGGGCTGGTCCAACCCAAATAGCCCGTGAGCCCGGGACCGGCAGGCGGGCCTGGGCTAGTTCAACCGGGCCTAACGGGCCCCAACGGCTATTTTTAAAAAAAAAAAATGACCAACGGTCAGATTTTTAGAATCTAGCCGTTGGTCTTCAATTTCCAACCGTTTAGGAGTTTAAAAAATAGTCATTTGGCCCCCAAATTTTGTTTTATTCCCAAACTTTTTATAATTACATTTTTCCCAATTCTCAACTATAAATACCCCCTCATTCTTTCATTTTTACTCACAAATTCATCAATCTCTCTCTAATTTCTTCTATAATTGCATACTTTATTATTGCAATTTTGTGAAAATTGTGAAGTTGGTGAACTGAAGTATTCAAGTCTTCAACGATATTCAATTTTCAAGAAGTTGTTCGTCAATTTGGTAAAGTCGTTCCAACTCTTAAGTTTTAATATTATAGTTTTTTTTGTTTTATTTAGTATAATTATAATTAATATGGACTTTTCTTTGAAAAAAAATATTTGGTGGTAAGGGTAAGGGAAAATCTAAAATTGGTGAATCTAGTCGTCAAGCTACTACTCTTCCCCCGGCTCCCCACCCAAACCAGTTACCCGTCCTCCTCCACCTATTATTCTTGATAGTGATAACCCTTGTTTTTAATTTTCTGATAGTCAATTTTGTCATGATGTTGCACTAGGTCAACAATTAAATGAAGAAGTTATGAATGCTCTTTATCCTAATCAAACTATCTTTAAAAATGATGAGGAAAATGATGATTTATATGAAACGCAACCGGATTTAGATGATATACCTACTAGTCATGTTAATAACCCAATTGATGCCCTGCCTGACCCTCCTATAGTAATCCCTACTTTTAATAGACAACCTTCTAAACGGCCCGAAACATCTCTTGTTTGGCACTTTTTTACTCAACTAAGAGAACAAAATAAGGCTAAGTGTAAAACTTGTGGGTCTTTGTTGGTTCATAAATTTACTG